CTGGAGGTCTGAGGCCTTGGTGCATTCAGGGGCCCTGGAGGTCTGAGGCCTTGGTGCATTCAGGGGCCCTGGAGGTCTGAGGCCTTGGTGCATTCAGGGGCCCTGGAGGAGAATGTCAGAATTTGGACGTGGGAGAAAACTAACAAAGACTCTGTAGTGAAAACCCTCCACATTCTTCTTCCTACAACAACAACAATCTGTGATCAGCTGATACACACCTTTTGACAACACACACACACACACACACACACACAAACACACACACACACACACAGGTCACCCGTGCAAACTCGTTGATGTCAGAAACAGATTGTCAGTCGGCCAGAGTTACAAGTCACATGTCTAATCACAAACCGTTTGTTTAAAGGCAAAGAATACTGTCAGGTGATTGGATGAACCATCTGTTTATCACCATCTATCACAGGATGACTTCAGCCAATCAGATCAACCCGCCGACCAGCAGAGTAAATTAACCTCTTTGTTAGAAAAGTAAAAACATCTTTTCCATCACGAAAAACCTTCAGTGCTGTGTGACTGCAGCATCCACGCTAACCTCTTCAGTCGCCTCTCTGTGCCATCACGCACACTAAATCCCCGCCCACTGCTGACAGTAGCTCCTCAGAGGACACTGATTGGTCCAAACCACACAAACACATCACCTGAGCCTGACAAGATGGATTCTCTCGTGACCTTGTGACATCACAACAGAATCCAGCTTCTGTGCAAAGTCACCACAACAAGGTCACAGGGTCACACTGACACTTACACATTAACATTACACAGTGCAGGGGACATAAAAACCTACTTCCTGTCGGTGTGGTCGAGGCCGCTCAGTCGGACGCCTTCGATCTGCTCGTTGCGTTGACCACACGTGTTGCCATAGCTGTCGTATCCGAAAACAAGGCGAGCGGCGCCGCCGGTGACGATGGTGAAGCCGCAGATGCTGCCCTGCAGGACGCAGACACCGATACTGTTAGTCATCTGATATGTCAAGGTTTTACCAGATATTAAAGAGATATGATGATATAATCATATGAACATGTGTTATCAGATATATGATCATATAAACATGTGATATCAGATATATGATCACATAAACATGTTATCAGATATATGATCACATAAACATGTGTTATCAGATATATGATCATATAAACATGTGATATCAGATATATGATCACATAAACACATGTTATGAGATATATGATCACATAAACATGTGTTATCAGATGTATGATCACATAAACACGTGTTATCAGATATATGACCATATAAACATGTATTATCAGATATATGCTTATATAAACATGTATTATCAGATATATGATCATATAAACATATGTTATCAGATATATCATCATATAAACATGTGTTATCAGATATATCATCATATAAACATGTGTTATCAGATATATCATCATATAAACGTGTTATCAGATATATGATCACATAAACATGTGCTATCAGATATATATGATCATATAAACACGTGTTATGAGATATATGACCACATAAACATGTGTTATCAGATATACATGATCATATAAACACGTGTTATGAGATATATGATCACACGAACGCAGGGTTACTCGTGGTCCCTAAAGTCTCCAAAAGTAGATCAGGAGCCAGAGCCTTCAGCTATCAGGCTCCTCTCCTGTGGAATCATCTTCCTGTTACGGTCCGGGAGGCAGACACCGTCTCCACATTTAAGACTAGACTTAAGACTTTCCTCTTTGATAAAGCTTATAGTTAGGGC